AAATCAAGAAACCAATACATTTAGCTAATTTTTTGACAATTGAATAAACAAAATAGTTTAAGGAACAGATAATGACCCCGTGTTCGGATTTCCGATGAATTCAACACCTAAGCTCAGGAAGAAGAACCAAATCTAAGATAACAAAGACAACAAAACCAAAACCATGAGCACGCCCTGTTGCGTGATCTCGCATGATCACAGCCTCAATCACCTTCCCATATGTGGCAAAATACTCCATGAGACGTTCCTCATATGTGTCCCAAGATCTTCCTCCAATGAAGAGCTTGCCGAGATCGATCCCATCTGTTCAATTACCAATCACAAACACTCACTTTAAACCATGTCCATCACTGACATATCAAAGAAGAAGAAAATAACGGAAAGCATACAAAGCGCACTGACGAACTTTGATATTGATCAAACTTTCAAATTTGGACAAAATATCATCCTAATCAATTGAAGAAAGATTATGTATCTCTATGCCTACAGTGAATATGTATCCCTGTTAAATCATTGATTAATTAGCAGCAACAAAGACATATACCTGTAAAACTGATTTAAGATTCACTGTAAATGCTGGAATAGGTAGTGGCCTAGGCATGAGAGGTCTGAACCCTGACATTAATGGTTGACCTCCAGGAATGGGAAATCTCGGGGGCGGCAATACAGGAGGAAGGTTCGGCCTCTGACCATCAGATGATTATAAGCCCGCCAACCTGCTGAAACGCGGCAGCTTGCCCGAGATGTTCTTTGATCCGTTGATCAATTAAACTTTGGGTTTGTTGCTCTTCAAATTGCTGATAGTAAGACCTCACATTAGCCTGAAAACACAAAACACATCAAACAAATCTCACAAATACAACCAAGATTGCAATGCAGTATAATTTTCAAAAGTCACAAAACTTCGCAGCACCTTGTGTTTATAACTGGAGTTATGCTGCTTTCTAACAGATGGCTGCAACATTACACAAAGTTAGCAACATTTGCATTGTCCATCTGTCGAATTAAAAAACTATAGCAAGCAAATCTGGTTAATGACTCAGAATTAAAAAACATCATCAGAGTTTCTATAAATATCTGATGGTGCCACCTCCATTCAGATTCAGATGCCTCTCCAGAGCCAATCCAATTTTTACACTGTAGCAACATATGGGCACTTACCAAGAGTATTCCATAAAATATAGTCCCCAGAAGTAACCTGGGCAAAGAAATAGTACAAGACAATGAATATACATTATTCACACTGGAAGGAGCAAAAAAATTAGGTTTGCTCAAAATATGAATCATTGTTCTTGCACAGACACAAAAACAAACAAATACCTGAGTTGAAAACTCGACCGGTGCTTTTACAGCTGGGTAGATGCTTAACTGCAAAGTACACATATTATCAGACAGACAGCAAAAGGATGATGACTCCTATAATGGTGAATTTCTGATACTTCAACAAAATTATATGGATATTAACTCTGTCCAAAATAAGTGTGTCAGCCAAAAGTGAAAAAGACTTACAGATTTCGAATCAATGGAAATTCCAGATACTGATGCCCCAACAATCTTGAATGAAACCTGTATGATAAGTATATATCTATATAAGAAAGTCTATTTGCAACGGAATTGGAACTTTAACATGCATTCAAAATATGTAATTACTACACATGGAAAGATAACAATTATAATGACATAATTAAATAATGTAAAACAATAGAAAATAATCAAAGACACTTCAGTTAACAAAGAAGTGTAAAAGTTCATAAAATACTAAAAGATAATATAAAAATGTGGAGGCGTGTACTTTAGCATAATTGTATGCTAGCCAGCAAAACGGCTCCTCTAGATCAACTGGAGGAAGATCCTTGTTCATTTTCTCCATCAAATGTTCTTCATTAACCATGTTGCTAGCATTTTCTGCCTCATTATCACTATCCTCGTCAACAATCATTCCAAAGACTGACCCAGAGGAAGACACCACTTCGTTTTTCCATGGTGCAAACTTGACTGTTCCGGGGAATGTCACTTCAATACTTTTTCCACTCGGTCCCCGTCCACTTGTCACGATTTTCCATTCGACAGAGTGCTCTGAAGTTGAAACTGTTCCCATGGAAGGAGTACCGTCCAAAGAAATAACCTTCCTCCTAGGAAAGGGCATAGTCACAGTACAGAACTCCATTGTCAAAGGAGATTTATAACCTTCCATTAGACGTAACTTAAATAGAAATGCACCTTTATCCTCAGAAACCATCGACAACTGATAGAATCCCTTTACCGGAGGTCCAAGAGCACAAGTTGATTGATATCGCATCAACACAAAATTACCTAATGGCGGAGAAAACACCACCCCCTGCTTATCTGGACCTTGGTCTGAAACTTGAGCACAAGGATGGTATGATGAAACCTCAAGGTTTGCTGTGTTTAATCCGGTTAAGGGAAACGATACATCTGGCAACCCTTCCAGATCAGCTCTACAGTTAATTTGACCAGAAACTGATATATTGTCCGGAATCTCATCTCTGTCACAGAGAGCCGCATGAACAATCTCATGAGTCGTAAACAGCATTCTCTGCTTTCCTTTGAAAAGATATGGCTTCCATGCTGGTTGCTTCTGCTCTGTAGGGGCCAAATCTGAAGCAGAAAATCCATTTGCCTTGATCGTAAAAATATTGGAATAATTAAGGTCCAAGGGCGTACCTGTATATAAAATTTACACTGACAAAATAAATTTGCAAGCAACAGGTAATTTCCAGCTTAACTTGTAAAACAACAACAAAAATATGAGATGAGGAATACCATAAAAAAGGTACCAACCAAAGGGCATTGAACTACTGATAAATGTTCTGAGTGCATCTTTGTCTAAAGGCCTAGACCCCATTTTCGGAGTATCTGCTGTGACAGATCCTTGGCTAGCTGTTCCCATAGGAGAAGAAGAAGCAACTTGTGGAGATACAGGTTTGGCCCGGGATGATATGCCTATACTACCCAGTTAATGAATCAAACAGTCCACCAACAGAGGGAGCTGCAGCGATTATCACTTCAGGTACTACTATATCACTCTCATTGTGTTTATAACCGAAGTTATGCTGCTTTCTAACAGATGGCTGCAACATTACACAAAGTTAGCAACATTTGCATTGTCCATCTGTCGCTTACAATGAAAACCATACGCTTCTTCAGAAAAATAAGAAAGTATCATTTATCAGAAGAAACTAATATTGTTGATTATGAGCATAAATGAATGAATAAGCAATTATCCTATAGAAATGCTAGATTGAAATCAAAGTGAAAGGCAACATTATTGGTGATTGGTGAGGGAAAAAACTTACAGAGTCGTGGGTCAAATAGGTATCGCAGTAGTCACAGTAGTACCTGAAAAATCACTAAACGAATCCCGTAACGATTGTTTTAGCTTAGACTTTCAACTACCGTGTCATCCACATCTTGTGATGACCCTTATCATATGAACAGCTAAAGCAGAAATAAAAATACATCCAGGTAAAATTAGAAAATAAAAACACAATTCAATGTGTCTCTAATATATGAATCAAAATCTAATGCAGTATTTTTTTCATACCTAGTTTCCAAACAAAATGCTCAGATTCATTTGTTTTCTTCTTCTCAGATTCATTTGTTTTCTTCTTCCCAAGCCCCACTCCAATATTGTAGGGAGTTTGAGACCCTTCTTTTCAAGTATTTTTTCACACATGCTTTGCTTTTTCAATATCAAATTTCCTTGTTTTCAAAAATAAATATCAACAACAAAATCCAGTAAACAAAAATTCAGTGCAAAGATTCTTTGACGGTACCTTGAGATGAGTGAATATTACTTTGTTCACAGTAACCAGAAACTCTTTGTTTGAAACCGAAACCAGGACCCACAAGTAGATCTCAATCTTCTTCTTTGTTTGAAATCAGACAAGACAGAAGAAAGTATTTTTAGGTCTGAAATGTGAGAGGGACGAATAGATCTTTATTGTTAAGCGAAGCAAAAACTGGATGGGTTCTTTGCGAGAGAATTGAAGCTGTTTCGATTTAGCTGCTTAAACCCTAAACTAAGGCACAAGGGGTTTTGACTTCTCATACGATGTCGTTTTGCTTTCTATGGTTCGTGTTATAAAAAACTGAAAAAATGTACGTCTATACATCTCCGAAAGCAGGAGGCATTTTTGAAAACGCATATGGTGGGTAAGAAATTCTCATATGTTAATTACCTTGCAAGCATCTACGGAATAAAATAAAAATAAAAACTGAAAAAATGTACGTCTATACATCTCCGAAAGCAGGAGGCATTTTTGAAAACGCATATGGTGGGTAAGAAACTCTCATATGTTAATTACCTTGCAAGCATCTACGGAATAAAATAAAAATAAAAACTGAAAAAAATGTACGTCTATACATCTCCGAAAGCAGGAGACATTTTTGAAAATGTACATGGTGGGTAAGAAATTCTTATAAGTTAATCACCTTGCCTTGCAATTTCTAACAGATATTATTTAACCAGATGAAATCACACTTAAAATTAATTATAAGAGTTATTTTAAATTCAGAAAAACATATTAGTATTCACACTTAGACCATTACTCTTCAAATAAAATTAGCCATTAAAATTCACTACTAAAACATCATTCCTCAACACAAAACCTTCATTCAAAATCAATATCAAAATCTAAAACAAACATACTCGTTGTGGTTTGTGTTACGTGCTTATCAACTTAACTATGATCTATCAGCTAATTTTACAATCATAAGTTATAATCCCACACATATCCTACAATGTATTGCCCTCGCTTTATAAAAGAGTTAAGCCAAACTTGTGACTCCTAAGCATACTTAGCTTTATGCTTTTGATAAGGGAGCTTTGAACCATTTCAGCAGCCTCCGCGTGGTATCAGGAACTCCACTCATCCCTTTTAGAATCCCATGAATTCCTTTCATAATTCAAGAGGCTGCAGGAAAATGTGGAAGCACAATCCCTGCAGAATGGCTCAACCCGACCAATCATTTAAACGTCACCTAGCAGGCCGCCACCCTTTCCTTCCGGCGGCATGGAAAGTTGGTCTCCCTCGACTAGCTGACGAACCTGGATGAAATTGAGAGGGGTTACCAGAAATAGAACTAGATTGCAATTCAGTGGGTGGGAAACCCTGCTGCGCTTGAAAAATAGGTTGTGGCTGATTCTGCTGGAAGGAAACCTGTTGCGCTTGAAAGATAGGCCGTGGCTGATTCTGTTGGAAGGGGGAGCTCAAATCAAATGGCATTTGGTTTTGACCCACAAACCCCGGTGCATGCATGGGTTGTTGTGGATATATATTGGGCTGCAACCCAGGCATCATAGTTGGGAAATGATTTATGTGACTGGGATTCAGTTGCTGTTGAAATGGACCTCCTGGCACAGGAAACTGATGAGAAAATTGTGTATTTTGTGGATAATATGACATGGCATTTGTAGGAAATGCATTTGGAAGCAGGGAAAGCTGCGACTGCTGAGGAAATGTTGTCTGATTTGCCCACGTTGCGTTTGCGGCAAAGTTAGGACCTGCATTTAAAGGTTGAAATGGAGAAACTGTGGTAGTTCCACCTTGTCCAGTGCCAAAAAATGAAGAACGGTTTCCATGATTAACCAATGGTGCTACTGCAGGTGCATTAGGGGCGGTATGTAACACATGCTGTGCTGCTGCAGATGCATTAGGGAGAGTAGGTGGCACCTTCCCTTTCAATGAAAACTTATTTTTATTGTTTCTCCTCTTGCCAGGATTTTGATCACTATTCCCTCTCTTTGTCATTCTCTGCATTTTCCTGTATTCAGCTTCTTTCTCATCATCCGAAAACTCTACTTCATCAGACACCTCTTCATCATTTGGACCAGATGCATCATAGCCTTTCCTATAAAGATCCTTATTATTAAGCGCACGATCAGCAAATTCTGGAACACATGAGACCAAAGTTGTTCCCCCTTGGATCCCCGCAGGGATGTCATTTTCAGAATTGTATCTCACAACATAATATGGGTTTTTGACTGGTCCAAATATTTCATCCACTAAACCTAACGGATTGCGGCTTTCAGTCAGCCAGAGAATGGAACCCTCATTAAGAGGTTCGTGCTTCTCCACTCCTTCGACAATGACTTTAGCCCCAAGAGTCTGTCAAATAAGAAAATTGATTAAGTTGAATCTAACAATAATTGGTATTGGTACCCCTTCTAATGTATTATACCTATTCATGTTATTATCAAATTATCTAATAACAAACACATGATTCACAAGGATAAGGGTTTCCCCCAATCAACCAGAGAAACAGAACATACAACCAAGACTAGAACTGTCTATTCTGCTCCTCTAGTAACTGATGACATTACTGTGAGCTTACCGACATAACAACTCCAACAGGTAGCATTTCATGGTGTGGTTCCAAAGTCACATGCACGGTAGGAACTGGTGGCAAATTCTGCAAATTCAACACCGATGAGTTAGTCAAATTAATTCACATTGTTCAATAAAAAGAAATTCTTCACCATGAGGCTGTGCATCACAGTAAGCACCAAGAGATTTTCAAAGTCCAGCATCACAATAAACGTCAACCAAAGCTACCTTCAAAGTAACACGTCAAATAGGACAAATCCTAGACTTCCAAAATTAGTACAAAACAGTTACCCAATAACAAACCAAACCAAACTGCAGTTACATAAATCTTTCTGGATAACATGAATATAAATCTTTGGAACTTCGAGCTAACATGCTTTGGTGATAAAAGTTTAATATTGAATCACAAAACTTAATAATTGATGAAGAAAAACAGATAGTTATCAATGAAGCACTATGCAATCAATTTAGAAAATATCAATTTTATAATTAAAACTTTTAAATAAAAATAAAAAAAGAAATACCCGAATCTCATTCTTTGACCTAATTGGTTCTACAACAACTTCATCATCATCATCAAAATCACCACCAGCCTCACTCCAACTAACCATCTTTTCAGCATCAGAATCCCTTATCTCCCCTTCTTCATCACTGCCAGATGATGAGGATGATGATGATGATGATGAAGCCTCATACTCTGAACTTTCGCTCTCACTATCGCTTTCGCTTTCGCTTTCATCTTCATCATCACTGTTATCCTTATCTTCATTCCCGTTCACTTCAACTGAAGAAGGGTCACCCGCTAACGTGATCTTTTCCACGATCTTCTCAATAGGAACTTCATCGTCCAAAGTATCAATATTTTCAGCCTCCGGTTCCGGTGTCTCCGCCACAACAGGGTTCGGGTCATGCTCCGATTCGTTGTTGTTTTGGGTTGCCATTGTTAAGCGAAGCAAAAACTGGATGGGTTCTTTGCGAGAAAGAATTGAAGCTGTTTCGATTTGGCTGCTTAAACCCTAAACTAAGGCACAAGGGGTTTTGACATCTCACGTTTTGCCTTCGATGTAAATAAAATATTAAAACACTGAAAAACATTAAAAAAAAAAAAGAAAAAGAAAAAAAAACACCCAGCAGGGCTCGAACAGGGGATCACAAGGTTAGACAAAGTCTTGAGAGTGAGGTTCTTACCAGTGGGGTGGCGATACATCCGTATCAAGCCACCCCAGTTCTACATATACAAAATGCACGCGTACATTCTGAGCTGTGCTAGGCAAGATTCAAGTGAAAACTTCCAAAAAACGATTTGATCACAACCTCCTCAATTCTTATCCAAATTTGATGAAACAAAATTCTAACTCACTTGAAATTTCACAAGGATCAAGATGGTGCTGTCCATTTTTTCAAATTATGCACACAGTAAAAAAAACGATGGCTTATGCATAATGAAACTTTGAAATGCAATTTGAGTTCAAAGTTGCAAGCTGAAGCATTTTAAAACAAGGTGAGGCTCTGAGCAAATTCTAAACATGACATGGAATGAATTTCAACAGAAATTTTGATCAAAAACACTTGGAATGAGAAAATGGCATATGAGTTACAAAAATGATGAAATTGTGTTTGCGATGCGTTTTCAAAGTGTGAGTACAATCCTATCAAGCTTGGGTCAAATAGATGATGTGCACACATTCTAAACATGGTATATGAAAAGTTTGAACAGAAGGATACATCCAAATTATGCTAGAATTGAAAGTGGTGTGTGAGTTGCAAAATTGGTTCTTGAGTTGAAAGGGCAAAACAGAATGTTACAGATCCACACCAAGCATAGGACATAGGCACAAACAAGACCTATTTAAAACAGTAGGCACATACAAGACATGGACATATGCATTAAGTTGGCACAATAAGGCATGAATTAATCTGAACCAAAACTCGAACAGCAAGTATCAAGCATAAGAGCAGTGCTGAGCATAACTTAATCAAAGTACTCAAATGCTAATGATCTATCACCCAAAATCTAAACATCATGCCTAGACTTAAGAAAAGCTAAGACTTAAGAGACCTCAAGAGAACTCTTATTGAACATAAAAACTAAATTTACACTAACTAATTGCATACAAGTTGTGAGAAAATATTTGAAAATAGCAGCAAGAAATATTAAGTTTTCATAACAAATATAAAACTCATAATAAATATAAAATAGTGGTAGTGTCAGTGTTTTAAAAACTGAATCGAACCGGTCAGTTGGACCGGTCGAACTGGGAAGATTTGTGCGTTTCCACGGTTTATTAGTTTTAATTGGTAAGTTACTTCTATTTCATATTAAAAGTAAATTTCATCTTTTTAAATTTATTAAATAATCTATGTATTCGATTTATATATAGATCACATATAAAATTCAGGGGCCTTAAAATTCAGTGTTTGAGTCAAGGGCCTGTTGAGGATCAGCTGTTGGTTTAGTAGCTTCAGTCTAGTTGTTGTGTCTGGTTTGCTAATCTTGGTGTATTTTGCTACTGCCAGTCCTTTATTAACTATCATTAGTTGCAAGGCTGTTAGTTGGTTCAAGCCAGCATGGTCATTTGTGAACTCTCATTGTTGGTAATGGAAAAAATTATTGTTTCTTTCATGTTGTAAAACCATAGAAAAATCATGTTCATTGTTGGTAATGGATCCATTAATAGAATTTGTGATTTGACCACTGCAAAATTTTCATTCAAACTTGTGAGAAATCTAATAACATATACAAACTGTGATTATTTCTCACTTTCCTCGTGGCTTCACAAAAGCATTGAACGCGACAACTTGGAATTTATGACAAACTTTGAATCTTGCTTTATATCAAAAATTTCTTATTGTAATTCAGAAACACATACAAGATCTCTTTCAAAGAACCTTTCTTTTAAATCACTCAACACATCTATGGTGTTTTTCAAAGAAATCGATTCAGAAACTAAATTGACTATCCAAGAATGAATCAACATATTGCATTTGTATCAAGTATGGAAAGTAGGATCAAATTGATCACCTGAAACTGAAATAAAATCGATGATGAATTCCAATTTTATCTTAGCACCAAGAGTTCGACGCATTGATCACGCCCATGAATGATAATTGAAACTATTGAGAAGAGATGTAACCTTATCTGAAGAAGGTTCATTACTTGGATGAACAAAATAATGATTAATTTGTTCCAACTATGGATCAACAAGAGAAGCAAGGCATTGATGGAAGCAACTACAACAAAGAAGAAAATGGTTGGATCCAAAAGGCTTATGATACAATATTATGATATAGAAAACTCCTTGAAAATGAGAGGAAGATTTATATACGTGAGCTCTCGTAACAAACTTACATTAATCTTGGTGTGTGCTAAACTGTCAAGATTTAGGTTTAGTCGGTTCAAGCCAGCATGGTCATTTGTGAACTCTCATTTAGTGCATACTTGGATCTATCTAGCATAGTCAGAGCTTGCATTATGAACTATCATTAGTTGCAAGGCTGTTATTGGAAGTGTGTGTATGTTATTACTTTTGTGAAAGTAGAGTGATGAGTACTTGGTGAGTCTATGTTTTGGCATTGTTATGTTAAGTGCATCAAAGTTGTTTTAACTTTAAAATCTGGCAAATATCAACATGAGAGTTCTAGGTATTAGTGGCTTAATGTTAGACATTGCCATGTCTGATATTTCTCATTAGAGACTTAACCTTGTTCCCACTTGGATCTATCTAGCATAAGTAGAAATTGCTTATTGAACTGTCATTGTAGTTCTTTGCTCAAGGGATGCTGTTAGGTTTTGTATGAAGTTGGACCTGCCATCTCACATTGATGTACTTAAGTTATAACACTTTATACTGGACTACTTCATCCTTGGTTTAACTTTATGATAACAGATTTGTAGAGCTTGTTTAGGTCTAGTTGTGGCCTCCTTGTTGGATTTAGGATTTAGTAACATCATGCTGTGTTGAATCAGTTAATTTTTGCTTTGGCCATGTTTGAAGTTATGACTGTGGTCATTGGACTATTCTTGAAGGACTGAGTTTGGTCAACTCATGTTTGTTGCCTCTCTTTTAGAGGGTATGTTTTGCTTGGATTTTCATCTGAGGAGGGTTATAACCAATTATTGCAGTTGTGGCTATGAGGTGTAGGTTGTTTAGTTTGGAGTTTTAACAGTCTGTGAGCTAAGTCTTGGATGGTGACTAGCAGTTTGTGGTTACCTTATACTATACTGTTAAGTTATTGGTGCCTTGTATGCCAAGAATTATGTGTGTTTGATACCATGAGTTTATAAAATCTCATTTGGAGCAAATCACTTGAATTGATAGATTGGTACATGATGGTGGGATGTGTTCAGTTTGTGTGTTGGTATTGTTGTTTGTGAACATGACCTTCATGTGGTGCCACTGTCAACTGTTTTAAAGCATGAGATGTATGTGTTTGAGGATCTGCCATGATTGGCTTGTCAGCATCAGGGGCCCTAAAATTCAGTGTTTGAGTCAAGGCATAGGCGGAGCCAGCGCCTGGCCAGGTAGGGCAGTTGCCCGAGCTCAACCGCCGACAACATTTTCCAGTTTACCTTTTCCAGTTGCATTTTCATTTCAATATTCATTTCGTTCCCTCAATCTCATTTTATTTAAGATTCACTTACTCATAAGTTTCTCTATTTTTTTCAATTCTTTCATTTCATGATGTTGAATTATTATTGTTGTTGATGATTGTTGTTGTTGCAGGTTGTGGTTTACGAATCGGTATCAAATTGTTGTCGTTTCCACCGTTTTGCAACTTGCACACTAAGTGTTCGGTAAATTGTCTCAACCAAGTTTCTTTTCCTTTTTCATTTCTGTTTCTTACGAATCATGTGTTCGATAAATTACTATTGGCTTCAGAAAATCACCTGAGATGGCAACTAAACTTTAGGTATTAGCAATTCATCGAGTTTTCAAACACACAATTAGTCTCTTATAAAAAGGAACAACAATGATATTTAATTTCTACTAGTAGTTGAGACTTACTATAGGAACAAAGTATTTGGAGATCTGGTCTGCAAATTTCTGAACAGAAGCTTTAGCCATTTGAGCAGACTCAACAAGTCTAACAATGTGAGAAAGTGCACTTTCTGATCCAACTCTTGTCACCTTAACATGCAAAACACCATTCTCATTCACGGTACCGCCGGCGCCAATCACCATTTCACCTTTCATCTTAGCAACAGGCTTTGCCTCGCCAGTTATCATACTCTCATTCACATGACAGAATAAAAATAAGCTGCATTTGTTCCCAAAGCTATCAATACATCCATATTTGCATAACCTTTTCTCAAAGCTTTATAAGCACCAACATAGAATCTTCTTCATATGATGAACTGTACCGGTGTCGAAAATTCCCACTTTAAAAGCAATCCAATGTTCAGCATATTAACAATTTTGATTTCTAAAACATGTTTAATCCCAGGTATATACATAAGAACCATAGATATAAAAAAAAAAACAGGAATAGTAAAAGCCAAACTCCATATTAATAACTTGAAGTGTCGATTAATTTTGTCTCGCATATGTGTTTTACTTCCTCCATCATTTGAAAATATTGTGGCTCTAAAACACCCTGATCCTGTTGACTCAATGGCTTCAATAAAGGTTCTTGGTCCAGTTACATAAGGTTTATAAGTTAAGGTAACTCTATGAATATCTTGATATGTGTCTATGGTTTCAACACCTTGGAGTGATCTAAGAGAATGTTAAATAATATTCATTGATTGTTCATTTTTTATGCCACCAATTTGAAGTTCAATTTTGCTAATGTGTTCTCCTTTGCTTATTAATATTGGTTTAAAACCTGTGTCTGAAATAGCTTCTATTATTTGATTGTAGCTTATGAGGTTTGGGTTGTAATAGATTTCTGCTTCTTCTGTTGCTAAGGCTACTTGTGCTATTTGCACACCAGGAAGGGA